AAGAGCAAAACTCCATCTCAAAAAAAAAAAAACATTCCACAGCAAATCAGAACACCTGGGTTGGGGTTAAAAGTGTTCAAGAAAAGGCTGACAATCAGGATGCTGTCAAAAGGATTGCAACCCTGGGTGTGAGGCCAGAGTAACTGATACCTAAGGTATCTGAAATTCAGCCTATGGGACACTCTGAAGAAGCCCTCCAACCTCCCCGTGTGCTAAGTCAGCTGGTGGCTTATTTGGTCCTGAGCCCTTGTAAATGGAATACCTTTTCCAGGTGGACCTCAGAAAGCACCAAAGGCTTTGTAGGACTGGCTTTGAACTACTCCCCCATAAAACCCTGCCCCCTTTTCTCAAGCCTCTAGAGAGGCTTACCAGTAGGCTTTTGTTGTCTTCTGGTACTGTGTCCCCAGTTAGAAGTGTCGGGGCACTGCTGTAACTATCCACTGGTGGCCTCAGGAGATAGACAAGTTTTTCCCAATAGCAAAAGAGATCTTCCCGGGTGTCAGAAGATGGACACAGCTGCAGATAAAAGGTACGACCAGTGGCAAGTTTCAGGCGCAGCTGCTGTTTCTCATGATTGTGGATGGAGATCTTCACAAACTTCAAGGGAATTAGTCTCGTGAGCTCTAGAGTCTTGGGGGGCCTGCGACGTCTCCCCTTGGCAAACCAGCCCTGTCTGGCATGCTCTTCATAGACTTTAGCTGGTCGGGCCAGCAGCATGACATCAGGCAGTGGGAGGATGGGGCTGGTGCAGACGATACCCACTGTCACCATTCGGACACGGTTGTGTACATCAATCACCTCTCCCTTTTTGCTTATCTGAATAAAATCACTCTCGAACATTGGTGCATACTTGAAAATGTCGTACTCTCCTCTCTTGTACAACTGTCGTTGCAGGTCACCCATGGAGGTTCTGAACACACTCAGTGAACGGTAGCTGTGGGCCGTGTAATAAGGTAAACAAGGTTCATTGCTCATGGTTCTCTACATTTAAAACAACTCCACCAGCCACAAATGGAGTCCCCAAGAAAGAGAGGGAGAGAAGGCAACTACCCATCTCTCTACAGGGCTTCTGCCCAAATCCTCTGGCATCACCACATTTATCCTCTGCTGTCCTTTGTGACCTATACTCATCTCACACCCCTTTGTCCTATCCTCCATGCAGTTGTCCCCTCGGGTCAGGGTCACCAGCCTCCCCAGCAAAACAAATCAATGCCTCTACAGGGGAGAAGCTGACCCTGCCAGGGTGTAGGTGTGGGTAGGCTGGGTATTCTTTTCAATCAAAATCCTGGGATGCATAATTTATGAAGCTATTCCGCTTTTTATCAATATCTAGGTTGTTTCCAGTTTTGTTGTTGTTGTGGGTACCCTTTCAAGGATCATCTTCTTGCAAAAATATTTTTGCTTCAGCTGAATTACTTCCTGGGGATAAAATCCTGGCTGTGGATGGTGTGCTTGTAAGGGCAGGGGCACTGTCTAGATTGCTGGTCTCTGTGTCCCCAGCATGTAGGTAGCACAGTGCCAGCTGGCACTCAGGAATAGATGCTGAGTGACTGATCCCAAGAGACTTCTGCTCCCCATCAGAACCGGAGACCCATCTGTATGGTGATTTTCAGGATATGGAAGATTTTCTCGCCTATTCGCTCATTTGAAGCAGGTTATTATTATTTTTTTAATGGAGTTTCGCTCTCGTCACCCAGGGTGGAGTACACTGGTGCAATCTCAGCTCACTGCAACCTCTGCCTCCCAGGTTCAAGTGATTCTCCTGCCCCAGCCTCCCAAGTAGCTGGGATTACAGGCACCTGCCACCAGGCCCAGCCAATTTTTGTATTTTTAGTAGAGATGGGTTTTTGCCATGTTAGCTAGGCGGATCTCAAACTCCTGACCTCAGGTGATCCACCCACCTCATCCTCCCAAAGGGATTACAGGTGTGAGCCACTGTGCCCGTCCAGAAACAGGTTTTTGTTGTTGTTGTTTTGCTTTGAGACAGAATCTTACTGTGTCATCAAGGCTGGAGTGCAGTGGTGCAATCTCAGCTCATTGCAACCTCCGCCTCCCGGGTTCAAGCAATTCTCCTGCCTCATCCTCCCGAGTAGCTGGGACTACAGGTGTGCACCACCACACCTGGCTAGTTTTTGTATTTTTAGTAGAGACGGGGTTTCACCATATTTACCAGGCTGGTTTTGAACTCCTGACCTCGTCATCCGCCCACCTCAGCCTCCCAAAGTGTTGGGATTACAGGCGTAAGCCACTGCGCCCGGCCAGAAGCAGGTTTATTTTTCAAAACATAATTTTAGCGTGAGGAAACTGAGGTTTAGGATTGTCTTGCTTGAGGCAAGAGTGCAGAGCTGGATTCTAGGTCAGAGCATTTTCTCTTCCTCAAGCTGCGCAGCTCACTGATAACCTCATTCTGCATCAAACCTGGTGTCATTGGTAGTTATCAATGTGTGTGGGGACTTCCTGAGAACCACAGGAATTCTTGGAGGTCTTGAATCACCATGGATTTCCCACACTGATAGGTCTGCTGCTTCACTCTTGATGCCTATTTGATAAACCACTGACGTTCTGTTTCTTTTTAAAGCTCTTCTGAGAAATTGTGGCAAAGACATCTTTCTGGAGTTTTTTGTTTTGTTTTGTTTTGCTTTGCACAAGGTGAAGACTCCAAATTCCCCCTCCCCCAGCTAGAGAACTTCTGAAATAAACATACGTTCCCCCAAACTCAATGATTACCAGGTAGAGGTCTTGAAATAAACTTCAATCATGAAATGTGATTTTTTTATATCCCCCAGTGCAAACTGCAGTGCCTGATACATTGCAGCTTTGCAGTAAATATAAACTTGCTTGTGCCCATTGAGATTTATTCTTCCATTTATTTATTCAACAAAATTTAATGAGCAAGTATTTTGTTTGGGGCTAGCTAGAAAGTGGAAATGCAAAGATAACGTTTTCTATCTCTGAAAAGCTGAAACATTTTTTACTAAAGATGTTGAATGACTTTTTGAGGAAAAAAAGAGAACAAAGTGGCATATATTCTATTATAAGGGAATAATAACTAAAAGTCAACACAATTATGTTAAAAAGTTGGAGATATATATATAGCCATATATTCTTCTCATAAGGTCATTTCTGATGAGTAATTAATGAGAGAAATTATCATATTATTGAGAACTTACTATAAGCTAGGCATGGTGCTACCACTATACATTCTTCTAAAATTTTCAATTCTGGCTGGGTGCATTGGCTCACACCTGTAATCTCAGCACTTTGAGAGGCTGAGGCAGGAGGATCACTTGAGACCACAAGGCTGAGATCAGTCTGGGTAACATAGCAAGACCTTCAGCTCTACAAAAAATAAAAAATAGTAGCTATACATGGCAGCGTGCCTGTAGTCTCAGCCACTCAGGAGGCTGAGACAGGAGAATGAAGCCCATGAATTCAAGGCAGCCAGTGAGCTATGACTGAGCAGTGGCTTAGTCCACTACACTCCATACTGGGCAACAGAGCAAGATCCTGTCTC